GTTTTGTTGGGTTTTTCTTTTTGTGCTTGAGCAGCCCCACTAGAGGGCGACCTGGTCTGTGGAGGAAAGGCCAGCAAGTTTTCACATTGGGGATGGCCACAAGCGCTGCCTCTCTGGTCTCAGAGTGAGCCCTGCAGGATGAGTACGTCTGGGCTGAGACCAGTTCAGAAGGGGAGATGGGCTACTTTATCCAGGGACTTTAAAATGTGTTTATTAGAGAGTAATTGGATAGAATTCTAATACTCTCATGTCTTAGATCTTTTTTTTTTTTTTTTTTTAAAGACAGGATGTCAAGTAGCCTAGGCTGATCTGGAACTCGTCATATAGCTGAGGATAACTCTGAACTTGATTAATCTCCCTGACTCATGTAGACACACTTGTAGTCCTGGGAACTTGGGAACTATAAGTGGGTACCACTATAACCTTTGTTTTCTTTCTTTTCTTTTTGAGACAGGGTTTCTCTGTGTAGCTTTGGATCCTGTCCTGGAACTCATTCTGAAACCAGGCTGGCCTCGAACTCACAGAGATCCGTTTGCCTCTGCCTCCTGAGTGCTGGGATTAAAGGCGAGTGCCACCGCTAACTGGCTTAAAGGTTTTTTTTTCTTTTTCCTCTCTCTCTCTCTCTCTCTCTCTCTCCCTCTCTTTTTCTTTTTTTCTCCCAGAGACAGTGTTTCTCTGTGAAACAGTCCTGTCCTGGAACTCACTATGTAGACCAGGCTGCTCATGAACTCAAAAAGATCCACCTGTCTCTGCCTCTAGAATGCTGGGATTTTGCCTCTGCCTGCTGAGTGCTGGGATTAAAGGCATGAGTCACCACTGCCTGGCCATAACCAGTTTTATATAGAATTTAGATTGAACCTGGAGCTTCATGCATGCTAGGGAAGCATTCTACTAATTGGGTTACATCCTCAGTCATCTTAGGTCCTTAAGAATTAAGTTTTTGGGGTAATGGCTAGCCAAGCTGGCTCAGTAGTTAAGAGCCCTGGCTGTTCATTTAGAGGACCCAAGTTTGATCCTAGCACCCACATGGCAGCTCACAACCATCTGTAACTCCAGTTATTACACATATATACATAGATATGTATGTAGGCCGACCAGCTATATAACTAGAAAAAAAAATCTCTCTCTCTGTGTTTTGTTTTATAGAAGTAAAACCTGTAATGCCATTTTAATGTGTGTCTGGTTCTGGGGTTTGAACACAGGGCTTTGCACATGCACTTTAAGACAATTCTGAGGACAATTCTGAGCCCCCTCAATCTTAGCAGTAATGCTTTTCCCTCCCCCCTGGGAACTTTCCATCATATCCCTGAGTACTTAGGGGCAAGATAACCCTTAGGTGTTGACTCAGTTAACAACTACACATGCACGTACTACTTGATGTTTTGACTCAGTCCCTGGGAAAGGGACAAATTGACCCTCAGATGTTCTCCCTTACCTCATCTGATCTTGCAGTTGCTCTCCAGCCAATTTTTGGTAATAGCCCTTTTGAATAAGCCAATCATAATAGTTAAAGAACAACCCCCAGACACCCCCCTTCCTTCTGTGGCTTTTTCCTTTAAAATTAGCCTATACCAGCCATTCGGGGTCTTTCTGGCCTCTCTAATGCTGAAAGACCCAGTCATGACAGAATTAAATAAAATCCTCATGCCTTTACATCAGCTGTGGTGTGAGAGATGGTCTCTTGGGGTGACTCCTCCTCGGTGAATTGGACTCTAGGCTCCAACATAGGTAAGTGTTCTACAACTCAACTACATCTCTAGTTCTCTTTTTTTGCTTTTGAATTTGAGACCAGGTCTTATTGAGGATAGCCCAAGGTGGCTCTGTACTTTCATCCCTCCATCCTCATCCTTCCAGGTGCTTCAGTTACAGGTGTGCACCACCTGATGAGCTAGCAACCCTGATTTTGAGCAGTAATATAAAATTATGAAGTGTTGTGGTAGTTTGAATGATAAATGTCCCACTGTAGTCTCTGTTATGTGAATACTTGGTGAAACTGTTTGGGTACATTTAGAAGATATAGCCTTGTTGGAGGAGGTGAGTCACTGGGTCTTGGTTCTGAGATTTCAAAATTTTGAGGTTTCAAAGCTCGTGCCGTCCCTAATTCCCAGTCTCTCCTTCCTGCTTTCTCTCTTTTTTTTTTCTGTAGAAAGTCTTTTTTTAAAATTAATTTTGTATTTAATTCAGACTTAATTCTTGACTAGCCATAAAGCTTAAGGAGTAGAAAGTCATGTTGGCACAACAATAAAACAAGGATTAAGCTGAAATGCAAAACTGTGTAATAGGTTTCATAAAGCTCTATAGTTGTTCTGTTACTGCATGAGTCAGAGTGATGCTGACTTGGTAATAATTGAATCTATTTAACTCCTCTGTTTCTCTGAGACCTGATCTGTTCATCTACAGCATCAAAATGGAAACTCAGTGAAGTCCACTGTAAACAAAAGTGTAGATCTCAGAGTACTGTAAGATACTTTTAAGTCAAGCTCCCTCTTATCAACACTGATGGCAGTAACCATTAGCATCATTGATTGTTGATGTGTTGGTCCTGTTTCTTTTTCTTTTTATTGATTGAGCTCTACATTTTTCTCTGCTCACCTCCCTGCTCTCCCCTCCCCCTCCCCTAAGGTCCCCCTGCTCCCAATTTACTCAGGAGATCTTGTCTTTTTCTACTTTTTACTTCCCACGTAGATTAGATCTATGTAAGTCTCTCTTAGTGTCCTCATTGTTGTTTAAGTTCTCTGGGATTGTGGTTTTTAGGCTGGCTTTCTTTTCTTTATGTTTAAAAATCACCTGTGATAATTGTCTTTCTGGGTCTGGGTTACCTCAATCAAAATAATGTTTTCTAGTTCCATCCATTTTCCTGCAAAATTCAAGATGTCGTTATTTTTTTTTCCTGCTGTGTAGTACTCCATTGTGTAAATGTACCACATTTCCTTATCCATTCTTCAATCAAGGGGCATTTAGGTTGTTTCCAGGTTCTGGCTATGACAAACAATGCTGCTATGAACATAGTTGAGCACATGTCCTTATGGCACAATTGAGCATCCTTTGGATATATACCCAAAAGTGGTATTATTGGGTCTTGAGGAAGGTTGTTTCCTAATTTCCTGAGAAATAGCCACACTGACATCCAAAGGGGTTGTACCAGCTTGCACTCCCACCAGCAATGTAGAAGTGTTCCCTTTTCCCCACAACCTCTCCAGCATAAGTTGTCCTCAGTGTTTCTGATCTTGGTCATTCTTACAGGTGTTGTTTTGATTTGATTTCTCTGATGACTAAGGATGTTGAACATTTCCTTAAGGGTCTGCTTCCTGCTTTCTAGTCAAGATGTGAACTCTCAGCTTCTTGCTCCAACTACCATGCCACCAACATGGACTTTTTTTTTAAAATTATTTTGTTTTTTCAAGACGGTCTCATTATGTAGCTCTGGCTGTCCTGTAATTCACTCTGTAGACCTTGTTGACCTTGAATTTAGGGATCCATCTGTCAGCTGTCTCCTGAGTGCTGCGATTAAAGACATGCACTACCGCCAATGCCTCCACTACTACCATCAGGCTAAAAATGTATGTATTAGCTGGGCGGTGGTGGCGCACGCCTTTAATCCCAGCACTCGGGAGGCAGAGGCAGGCGGATCTCTGTGAGTTCGAGACCAGCCTGGTCTACAAGAGCTAGTTCCAGGACAGGCTCCAAAACCACAGAGAAACCCTGTCTCGAAAAACCAAAAAAAAAAAAATGTATGTATTTAATTTTATGTCTGAGTATTTTGCCTGCATATATGTATATACAGCATGTAATTCTTCACGTCCACTGAGATCAAATGACAATAGGATCTTGAGAAATTGAGTTATGGATGATTGTGAACCATGGGACTTGAATCTGGGTCCTCTGCAAGAGCATCGAGTACACTTGCTCTCTGAGCTATCTTTCCAGACTCCCCCTCCCACTATCATGGACTCTTATCCTTCTGGAACTGGAAGCCCAAATAAATTCTTGTATAGGCTGCCTTGTCATTGTTTTTATCACAGGTGTTTTATCCTTCTTATTACTGGAAAGGTCTAGAAAGAATGACAGATTCACAAACACAGAGTGCACAGGTTATGTTTTATTTCTATTTTTGCCAGTTTTATTCATGTGCACCTGTGTGTGTGTGTGTTTGTGATGTGTGTGAGCTTGTGAATGTGGAAAAGAGAGTTGGTTCTCACACTGAACTCAGGTCGTCTGACTTGGCAGCAGGCATCTTCACCCACCGAGCAGTCTTGCCGGCCCTGTTGTCTGTTTTCTGGGACAAGTCAAAGTTGGGTGTGGTGGCTAGTTCCCGTAATCCCAGTATGCAGGAAATTTGAGGTCAGCCTGGGCACCATGTCATGGTTATATTGTTAGGCTGGCCTCAAACTCTCCATTGTCCTTGTCTGAGGTTACAAGTGTGTGCTACCATGTTTGGGATCTTGTAGGTTTTTCATATTGTTTCCTACTGAAAGACTCCAGTTTCTTAGAGGGCTGGTTGATTTCAGGGCTGGAGCATAAAATATACAGGTTGTTTGTACAGCAATCCTTATCAGCAGAGAAATAGGCAGGGACTGCCAGCACCCTGTTAAAATGACTCAGCCAAGTTTCTATAAGCGAAGGTGGGAGGATATGAGCATTAGTAAATATACTTTATTTAGTGCAGTGTTTAAATTCATTGTGTGTGCTGTTTTAACTAACTGACTATTCTTTTGAAAGGCCTTCGTCTGGGGGAATGTAGCCAAGTTGGTAGAGCATTTGCCTATCACACAAGGCTTTGGGTGCTATTTATTGCCAGCGCATCATCCTGGTTTGGTGGTATGTGCTTGTCTCTAGAGATAGGAGGCAGGAGACAGGAGGACCTCCTATTCAAGCTTATTCTTGGCTACATAGAAAGGTTTCTTTTCCTCCTAAATTTTCTTTTCACTGCTTTTTTTTTCTTTCGGTTTTTCAAGACAGGGTTTCTCTGTGTAACAGCCCTGGCTGTCCTGGAACTAGCTCTTGTAGACCAGACTGGCCCCGAACTCACAGAGCTCTGCCTGCCTCTGCTGGGATTATAGGCGTGCGCCACCACCGCCTAGCTCCTCTTTCCTCTTCAATGCAGAGTCAGCTCCATAATTAGGGCCAGCTCTCATCACTGCAGAGTGGAGAGGAGCTGACAGCCAATAGTCACTGTTCATTAAGTGCTTTCCTCCACTGACTCAGTTACCCAGCACTGTACGGTAGGATTAAAGGCCTGTGCCACCATACCCGGCCCTTCAGCTCCTTTTTGGTATTGTTATCCTTAGCCTCCTTAAAGTGCAGCGGAGCAGAATGTTAGACCTTCCTTCCGCTATAGCTCAGGAGCTGATCAGCCTTCCCCGGCTGTGCTTTTGTGTTGTGTGTACTCCACTGCTGCGTTCTGTTGTGTAGCCACCCTGACCTTTCTTCCTTGACTAGTGTTCTGGCCTTTTCTTGGAGAACACTCACTATTTCTTCCTTCATCTAGTTATTTCTTCTGCGGGGTTTTCCAGGAATCCCATTTTGTTTGAAGGTTTTTTCTCATATTTTATTATTTATTATTATTTGAGAATTTCATGTGTATATGTCTTTTGATCAAGTCCACTTCCCCTTTCCAATTTTCCCCACACCCCTTCCAACATGTTCCCCTCTGAACTTCAACACCCGTACGCACAAAGGTGTGGGGCCATTCTCTGGATGATCTTTGGTCTGTGATTTTCTGTGTAGACAGGGTCACTGTGTACACAATTCTCTTGCCTTGGTGATAGGGTCCTTCAAGTGCCAGGATTTTAAGACATGCCATTTTGCTCAATCCAACTCTCGCTTTTGAGCTGTAAAATGGGGCTTTCATAAGGCTCTTAGAACAGCGCCTGGCATACAGATGGTGGCACGCTTGCCAGGAGGGAGAGAGGAGGATCAGGAGGACAGGGTTATCTTTAGCTGAACGGTGAGTTTGAATCCAGCCTGGGCTTCATGAGACCTTGTCCCAAGTGAAAAAAAAAAAAAAGATAATATGGTTCCTGGTTCAAGTCAGGTGGGGGAAACCAGCAGAAGAACCATCAATGGAGCTGTCACTGCAGAATGAAACTTCTGCAGACATGCATGTTTGCATGGGACAAAGAACCCTAACGCTAGACACTGAGCAGCCTGCTGTGGCCTCCCTTTTTCTTTCTTTTTCTTCTTCTTTTTTTCTTTAATTGATCTTTACTATGTAGCCCCAGCTGGCCGGGCACTTGCTATGTAGACCAGGCAGACTGGTCTCAAACTCCCCGAGGTCGGGCTGTCTCTAGGATTAAAGGTGTATATCACCATACCAGGCTACATTCTTCAGAAGAATCTGCCTCCTTCTACAAGTTCTTACTATGTGAGCCAGTATCGAGACTGACAGTAGAAGGAAGCCTACGGAGACAAATGGGAAGTGAAAACAGCACAGACGTATAAGATAACTGTGAATCTTAGCAGACAAGGGAGAAGGTCTGTGGCCTGGCCTTCCAACACTCACACATTTAATATCAAACCATCCATGTTTTCTATGAGCCTGGGAATTCCCTACCCAGATGGGGGTGTTGTGCTCTTGCTAGCCTAGAGACTCAGGTCACATTCTTCGCACACGCCCCTCCAGAGCCTCGAGCTCCGACAACACCTCCTTAGGCAGATCCTGGTTGACTTGCTGGGTCAGGTAGCTCCTAATATCGCGAACCTCCTGTTCCCAGAAGTCCTTGGGGATGGAGAACAGCTGAATGTTGTCTATTGCTTTGAGGCCACTGAGATTCAGGGCTCCTTCCTTTGGCACCAGCCCGATGGGAGTCTCTTGGGCACTGTCTTCCCCATCTAACCGTCTGCAGATCCAATCTAGCACACGAGCGTTCTCCCCAAAACCTGGCCACAGGAAGCGGCCCGCTTCATCTCGCCGGAACCAGTTGACGTGGAAGATACGAGGCAGCCGGGCTCCTTTGTGTCCCTCCATGCTCAGCCAGTGTTGGAGGTAGTGTCCAAAGTTATAGCCAAAAAAAGGCCGCATGGCAAAGGGATCATGCATAATGATCTTTCCTAGGACAGGAAGGAGGGTAGGTAAGGAATCCTCTTCCTGTCTAGGGAAGGGAAGGGAGCCCCGTGTCCTGCTGGCAGAGGCAGGGTAAAATCTGACAGTTCTGAAATATCTTTAGGGAAAGTGAAGAGAAACAACGGGAGGGAGGAGGAAGGGATAGGATAGAGCTGGGACCTATGTGGGAGCAGTGACAGGGGACAACGGAAGTTGTAAACTCACCTTTGTGTTCAGCAGCTGCAGTGGACTCTGAGCGCATGGAGCTGCCTACAAACACCCCATGACGCCAGTTGAAGGCTTCATACACCAGAGGTACCCCTAAAACACCAATGAACAGGCTTAGAGGCAACCCTTCTTGTCCACTTTCAGACCCATGCCTCCCACGGATTTTGCATTCACCATGGGAAAAGGTGATGAACAGCAGCAGCCAGAGGTCCCGTAGTTTCAAATACAGGAAGGCTGGAGCTTGACTGCAGAGCTGCACCTTCTACTACAAAGGCTCAGAGCCCACCTGCTGCTTACCTTTGGGCCTGCGGCCTCCAAAGATGATGGCATCAATGGGGACACCCTCTGGTGCCTCCCAGGCTGGGTCCATGATGGGACACTGGCGAGCCGGGACACAAAAACGTGAATTGGGATGTGCACAGGGTTCCTTGTCACCTGGCAGAGGAAACGCAAAGACCATCTTCCAAGGTCATGTTCACTCTTAACACACTCATACATACATGAGCAATGACACATTTTCATGATGCTGAGGCTTAACCCAGGGTCTTATACATGCTAGGCCACTCCTCTATCAGTGAGCTCCGTCTCCAGCCCTTGCAAGATTTCTTTTGGTTTCATCACCTACTTATAATCTTGTGTGGTAAAGAAGGAGGGGGAAGGAGCCCAGGACATCTTCCCACAAAGATCAGGCTGATTATCAATCAATAATGGTGCTGCTCAACAATAGTGGAGAGGAAATCTGATGACAGGGCACTTTGGGCACTTGGCATTGACCAAGACTTAAGGGAATAGTTAGATATTGGCATGTCGTCATAATAATAACTTTAATAATAATACTATAGAAATAATTTTCTTCCCAGTAACTTTATTTGAAGGATTATCAGTTCCCAAACTAATTTTTTTAAGCCTAAAGCAAAAGCTGAGAATGTTAGGTCAATATTTCAAGCAATTGGCTTTGCATTAACAAATGAAGGAAGAAAATCTTCCAAAGCTATCAAAATGCAAACAAGAATTCCTTTATTACACATTTACTTATTTGTTGATTGTGATGGGGGTTAGGGATTGCTATGGCATGCATTATGGAAATCAGAGGACAACTTGTCCAGTCTTCTTCCTCCACGAGGGTCCTGGGGCTCTATCTCAGGTCATCAGACCTGGCACTTTAACATGCCAAGTCATCACACTAGCCTAGTAATTGATGGAACTGGTTATTTCTCTTGGCCTGCCTAGACCGTGACAGTGGTAGATTAGAGCATGAACTCGGTCAGGGACATAACCTGAGGAGTCCAGAGCATTTGACACCTTCAGGTGTATTGGAGAGAAGTTGGAACAAGTCAGTGGCATATGTGTGAGCACCACTGGGGAGACTGAACAGGCACAGTACCTTCTCCGTTGGAAGATGACGACCAGAATGGAAGGAGGGGTGAGGGAGCCATGGGCCAACAAGACTGTCCCTGTCACCTCCCAGCCTAGGGCCCTGGTACAGGAACTAAAGATGGGCATGTGGCTGTCTAGTTCTATCAGTGGATTCAGAGTTGATGAAAGGGTTGGGCAACTAGCCTGTAGGGAAGATTATCGTCTGTGGATTTCTCAGCTGGGCGGAGAGACTGAGGGGGACTTAATGATGGTGTTAAGAGAAAATAAAGGCTGATCAAACAAGGAGGTTAACTGCTAGGCCGTCTGGAAAACTCAAGTTCGGCCTTCAGTGACCACAAGCCCTTCTTCTTCTGTGTTCTTTTCCCATGACCTCAGAAGGCCAATTGTTAGAGTGCAAAGCTTGGGGAGGGATGGGTCTCTAAGGCACCCTGGAAATGACAGGGTAAGAAAATCAGCCTCCAAGAAAGCGTAACATGCTAACCTGAGTTCACGTCGAAGAATTGCAGTATAGTGAGGGATGGGAAGGGGAGGGTAACTTCAGACACTGGCATCAGCAGGGAAATGCCAGAGCCAAGTGTCAAAGGACAGGCTTTCTTCTTTCCAAATAGGTCAAATGTTACCAGCCCAATTCTTTTTATAACTTTCCAAATAGTTCTTCCCCCACAACTCTGGCTTATATTTTCTATTGACAAGCGCTATGTATTTGACAGTATGTTAAGCTCCTTTTAGGTGTTATTTAAGTCTCTCATAATCTTAACAGGTGAGTACTATGATAAAGCTCATTCAGTTGGTTGGAAAAACTGTGCAAAACTTGAGGGAAGTTAAGTTATTACTCAGATCCCCAAACCATGATTAATGGCATCAGAGATGTAAACTGAGATCTTGCCTGGTGCTGGAAACTACAAAAAGCTAAGGTTTTAGAGGGTTTTCCATCACTAAAGTTGCTATGGTTTGGGGACTGGTTGCTTTTTCAAGAGGATACAGGTTCGATTCCCAACGCCTACATGGTGGCTCACGGCCTCCTGTAATCCTAGTTCCAGGGGATCTGATGCCCTGTTCACTGCATACATACGATACGCAGACACTTGCCAGCAAAGCACACATTCACATTAAAAAAAAAAAAAAGAAAAAAGAAAAAGTGCTGAGCCCTGGGGCCTTCGTCACAACCTCCTCACCCCACGTACCAGGTTTCCAGGGCTTTCCCAGCCAGGAGGTCACAGTGACACCAGGTGGAAGAGGCTGGTCAATGCCTTCCCAGTACACACCGCCGTCACTGGTCTCGGCCACATTGGTGAAAAGAGTGTTACTCTGGATTGTGGCCATTGCATTGGGATTGGTGGTAGCAGATGTACCAGGGGCCACCCCAAAGAAGCCATTCTCAGGGTTGATGGCCCGGAGCTGACCTGCCAGAAGTGAAACAAGGAAAGAGCCTTAGGAAAAGCTGAGATGTGAGGCCAAAGGAGGGCCTTCTCTGTCCCTTTTTTTTTGGGGGGGGGGGCGGGGGAAGGGGCTCTAGATCTGACTGATCGAGAAAGGCTTTGTTTCTGGGGCTGCTAGACTAACTGGGGCAGGGGACCATATGAGCTGTTTAGGAAAAGGCTCCCTTACCTTCACTGTCAAACCTCATCCAGGCGATGTCATCCCCCACACACTCTACTTTCCAGCCTGGCAATGCAGGCTGCATCATAGCCAGATTGGTTTTGCCACAGGCACTGGGGAAAGCAGCTGCCACATAGCGCTTTTTCCCTGCAGGGTTGGTGATCCCCAAAATCTGTGTTGGAGACAGAGGGAACAGAAGGAAGTCACCCAAAGTCAGGGCATAGTCTCTACGGATAAGGACAGCTAGCTGGTGGTAATGGGCTAGGAAGCGGGGGATGGACTATTGGATATTAACTAAGCCAGTGTCCTGCCCTGCCACCAGGGCAAGGGTAGCAGTGTTCAGCCAGGCTTTCAGGCTCACCATTCTGGCACCTGGCAGGAAGGAGCAAGGTTGAGGCAGATTGCCAAGGCTTCCCCAACCACCCCCTCCTCCACAGCTGCTCAGTTCCTCACCAGGCCCTCACCAGCATATGCTCTGCCAGCCAGCCCTCATCCCTGGCCAGGCGAGAGGCGATGCGCAGGGCAAAGCACTTCTTGCCCAGCAAGGAGTTACCACCATAGCCGCTGCCGAAGGAGACGATCTCCCGCTGGTCTGGCACGTGGCCAATCAGGGTTTTTTCCGGATTGCATGGCCACGGGCTCACAGGATCCCCTGGAGACAATGGGGTCATAGTGCTGCTGGTAGTGGCATCAGAAACCAGGGTGTCAGGGACTGGTGGAATCAAGGATTGACCCAAGAGACACTTGAAAACATTGGCAGTGCCCAGGGGTCGCTAAGCCCCCTTTTCCAGTACCCATCAGCTCTTGTGCCTCTGTCAGACATGGAGACTGACTTCTGAATCTTGTGCAAACTGTTCTTGAAACAGTGTTACTCCAGTTCAGAATGCTTCTCTGGGCTTTGGGGAGTAATCATTCACATCCACAATTTCTCTGTGGGTGGGTAAGATTTGGGGCTCCCTCTGAGTACAGGAAGGTCTCAGTGTCCTACTCTAGATAAGGTAGGTACTCACCATGCCCAGTCAGGGGCTGGCCTACTGAATGCAGACACTTGATGAAGTCACCATCTCCCAGGGCCTGAAGCACAGGTGTTCCCAGGCGGGTCATAATACGCATGCTTGCCACTACATAAGCTGAGTCAGTGAGCTGCACTCCAATGCGGGACAGTGGGGAGCCCACGGGACCCATGCTGAACGGGAGCACATACATGGTGCGGCCTGTGGAGGAAGGTGTCACTGGGATGATGATTCCCAGTCAAACCTTCAGTGCCCCTGCTCCTGTGCCCCTGACTTGTTACCCTGCATGCATCCTGGAAATCTCTCATCCACAGCTCGCTGGAACTCATCTGGGGACATCCAGTTGCCCAGCTGCCCACGGGCCCCATCAGCCAGGAGGGGCACTGTGTCCCTCTGCGAAGGGGTTACAATCACCGTCTTGCTTTCTACCCGCGCCACATCCTTGGGGTCTGTGCGAGCCAGCCAGCTGGGGAGAGAGGATTGCCAGGAGATGGTGGCTAGTAGACTTCACTTACCTTCAGAGTCACTTTTGTTGCTTATGTTTCTCTCAAGACGGTTTCACCATACAGCTCTAGCTGTCCTGGAACTCTGCAGACCAGGCTGGCCTCAGACTCACAGAGATCCGCTTGCCTCTGCCTTTAAGTGCTCGGATTAAAGGCGTGCGCCACTAAGCCTGGCCAGGCTCATTTTTTAAGTCCAACTTTGACTCTAGGTCTGTTTGCCTTTTGTTTTCTTATCCAACTATATTTTAGCCCCTCTAGGTTTGTCTTATTAAGAGGTGGTTTCTGCAAGGCCCAGTCTTGAAACCTCTACCCCTGACAGAGTATGTCTCATAAATGGGTTCATGGGGGGGGGGGCAGTTAGTCCCCCACTCCCCGAAAAAGCAAGAGCTCCAATTCGTAAATTCATATCAACTTTTTTATTTAATGTGAAAACAATCACTTCCTAGTTGATTTCCCCTCAAGCTCCCATTCTGTTTCCTTCTACTGATATTGTCCAGAAATATCTTTGTCTTGGTTAACCCAAGACACTTCAGTCTAAGCAGCTGCCTGTTTTGGGGGGGCTGTTGGTTTCAAGACTTACCAGTTCTCATACTTGGGGAGCTTCCGGATAAGCCCCTGCTGTTCCAGCAGGGCCAGTGTGGCAGCGTTCTCAGTCTCAGACCCATCACAAATGTGAATGCTCTCTGGTTGGCACAGACGGGCACTGCGTGCCACGAAGTCCCGGACTCCAGCAGGCAGCTGGCCCAGGTCTCCACTGAGTACCCGCAGAGTTTGGATGTTACGGCATGGTGACCAGTGCCAGGGCCTCAGCCCATGCAAGCTAAGCCTAGAAGAGCCCAAATAGAGAGGCAACCATCCGATGGCTATCATGGAAGATAGCTACTGGGGAGGGAGGACAGGAAGCTCGTGCCTTGGGAAAGTTCTAAGGCATATCTGGTTAGCAGGCACCACGAAGACCAGGTTATGGCCGGTATGTGGAAGGAGTTCAGACTAGCTACGTTTGTGGCCTTTATGAGGTGTGTGTCTCCTGGTCAGGGAAGGGGAGCTGGCCAAGTAAGCATTCAAGCACACATCTGGCTGTGGGAGTGTGCATGCGAATACTGCAAGTGTAGCTCGTGCCCTGCTTTACTTTGTCCGCTGTAGGATTAGGAAAAAAGCAGGTGCCTTGTGGCCCAAGAGTCAAAGAACTGTCCAGATGAGAGCTTCATAAGGCTATTTTTAAAAACCTCACCAATGTTCTTTTCAGTCACAATTTTTATGTTAAAATGGCAGTTATTTTTATCTTTTTCCTTGGTGTAGATGCCTCACCAAAGGGCGTAGTTTGTGCGATGGTAGAGCCCTCTTCCAATGCCTGGGTTTTAGATTAGGATTCTTACATGAAGACAAGGGATGCTGGGGGTTCAGGCAGTGCATTTGTTCACCTGGGTCGACAATGATTGGCTAGTTAGGTATTTTTTAACTAAGTGAAAGGCAGATTAAGAATAACCAATGCCATTGCCAGGAGTCCATACCTAGATCCTCAGAAGAGCAGTGTCTCTTTATTGTTTGTTCTGTTAGGCTCCTGGGTGATAATAGGGTCTGCTGTGATTGGTCTGGACCCAAGACAGTAAAGGCCAAGAGAATCTTTCTCACAGGCGAGGCCTCACCTGCCAGAAACTCACAGCAGACCACATGGCTTGAGCCTGCCTAAGCACTCCCTGGCTTGCCTTAGAAGCCACTGCCTACTGAACTCTAGGGGTTGGTGGTAGGTCAGAACACTAGAGGACAGGAAATTCAGATCACAGGCTAGATGCCTGGGAAGGAAGAAAACGAAGGTCTTGGATGTGGGGGTTTGGGCCTGGGTGGTTTGTTTTCCAGAAGACAAAAAAGGCAGCACACTTAGTGTGGCCCTAGGCGCACAGCAAAACAGGGCTTCAATACAGCTTCCTGCCTGGAACGTTTCCCCAAGGAATTAATTTTAAAGGCCCAGTCTTGAACGCTTCTCTCCCTTGGAATCTGGCTCCCCCAACACCCCCATCCTTCTGCATGCCTCTAGGAGGGACGGCTCACTATCTTTCATAGCACACATGAACTGACCACATAAAACCTGCGTGGGAGAGATAAGGAGTCAGTTTAGACTCAGTGTCAAAGACCCTGGAGAAGGGGACACACGGGAGAGACCTGGTTGCATGTAGGCAGAGCGGCTTGCCAGGACAAGCTTGGCACCCAGGATCTGCTATGGGAAGATGTCAGCCAAGTTAAAAAGAAAGCAATTTGTCTCCCTTCTCCCATCTTCCTTCCTTCCTTCCCTCCCTCCCTCCCTCCCTCCCTAGTCCCCAGATCCCCGAGGCTCTTCTGGGCTTCATGCCAGGCTCCATTCTCGGGAGGCAGCGAATGATGTTTACCTTCTACCTTCTTTAGGGAGCTCGGAGCTTGGGCTCCCAAAGGCTCAAGCCCTTTGGCCTCAGGGCCTTATGGCTCCGCACAGCACTGAGGGGTGGACTGGAAGCCCCAGTCAGAAAGAATTACATCTGGTAAGTAAAGGATTTGCAGAGACAGGGCTCGGGAAGGCAAAGGAGAAGGGGGAGGAGGTTGAGAGTGGCAGATAGAAGACAGCACAAGCGGACAGGGAGGGGTAGGAGAGCACAGAGGCTGGGAGAGCGCGTGGCTGAGGATGGGGGCTGGGGCACCACCGTGAGACCCCGATTAGTAAACAGCCGCCCTGCCAGTCTCTTCCTAGGATGGGAAACAAGCGGAGGGAGCTCCGCTAGTGGAGCACGGAGTGGGCCCAGGGTTGTGGGTCACTCACCGCAGGCTGGGGAGGTACATAGCAGCCATGGCACCTGGGCTGGCGCTGCGGGGCGGCCACAGGAACCAGAGCAGTCGGGGGAGACAAGGAAGGCGGGGTAGGAAGGAGCGTGGCAAAGCCAGAGGGAGCTGAGGTTGGGCGGGAGGCGCTTAAAAAGGAGGCGGGCAGGCACCGGGGCGGAACCTAGCTGGTTTTCTCGCCTGTGGGCCGGCTCACGGGCCGGGGCTCCAGGCATCAGCTCCGTGAGCTCTGTGAAGCCTCCGCCTCACAGTCACCACTCAAGACTACTCTCCCCATTGGAGACTTGAGTTCACCTTGGGTCCCGCCCACTCCGACGCTCCGCCCTACGACCCGCCACGCTGTAGGGCTACTGATGTAACTTTGAAGGCTGTTGCTCCTTAGAGATAGCAACCAAGAGACACCGAATGTCAGACAAGCTAAGGATGAGGAATGAGACCAGAAGTGGGAGCCCCGATGTCTAAAATCTCAGGGACTGGCTTTTCCTTTTCAGGGCACTCCTAGCTTTAGGCGTTTCTTTTTCTGGGTCCCAATTCCAAGGTCTCCTTAGTCCACAAATAAAAACGAAAGCAAATAACTGTTGTCCTTGTCTTGCTTCTTATCAAGGGAGTTTTCTCTAACACCATGAAATTGGTGAGCTCTTTCAGGACTAGGGACATTTACTGTGTTCTCTAACCACTCACCCCTCACCCCCTGCCTCACCTCTAATCCTAAGGGACATATCATCTTGTCACTATCGTGAAGACCTTGGGTAATTTCCCAACTTGTCGTTCCAACGTGAGGACACAGGGTATCTACAATCCAAATGCTGTAGCGGTTCAAACTCAACCCATCTGTGGTGAGCATCTGCTCGGAATCCTCTTTCCAGTTGCAGCACTTTGACTCAACTTTGGAGAACCAAAAGGCCACGTGGGTCTCTGCCTTTGCTTCTCTTAGGGTCAATTTGTACGGCCCACACTGTGACCACAGCAATCAGGATGCTCAGAGATGGGGAAATGAGATCTCTGTCTGAGACCTTTTCTGTAGAGTTTGGAAATAAACTCATTTTCAACTGGATTGCTGAGTTGGGAGACTATAAACTGGTCTTTGTTGGATGTCAGCTTGGTACTGCAAAGCATGAACCGGCCTGAGACAGAAGCAGGGACCAGAGATAAAGACAATAGATTTCCCCTAACCCCTATTGAGATAGCCTAGAGGTGGCTTCTTCTTCTTCTTCTTCTTCTTCTTCTTCTTCTTCTTCTTCTTCTTCTTCTTCTGATTTATTATTTATTTATTATTTATATTTGAGTTTGCCTGCATGTATGTCTGTGTGAGGATGCCAAACCCCTGGAACCAGAGTTATCTAATAACTCTGCCATGTGGGTGCTGGGAATTGAACCCAGATCCTTTGGAAGAGCAGTGAGTGCTCTTAGCTGCTGAGCCATCTTTCTAGGCCCCCTCAAGGCTTCTTAAGCCCCCACCTTCTTCTGGGGATCTGGGATGGAAACTGTTAGAGAAGATGCCCAGTGTGTAGGGGACTGAGTTGGGCCAGGGTTTCTTTAACAGCTGAGGGTTTTTCTCTTCTTATCCTGTTCTTGCTGGGGAAGGTAGTCCAGGGTTTCTTACTCCTTGGAGGCCATGTGGACCATGAAGACCACCACTCTGTTGCTGTAGCCAAATTCTTTGTCATATCCAGACATGAGCTTGACAAAGTGGTTGTTGAGAACAATGCTGGTCCCACTATCAGAGGTAGAATGGATGCTCCTGTTAAAGTCTCAGGAAACAGCCTGGTCCCCAGATAAGCCCAGAATGCCCTCCAATGTCTGCTTCATAATACACCTTCTTGTGTGTGTATGTATGTATGTATGTATGTATGTATGTATGTATGTATTTTTGAGACAGTATCTCTCTATATAGTCCCAGCTATTCCGGAACTCACTATGTAGACCAAGCTGGCCTTGAACGCACAGAGATTCACCTGCTTCTGCCTCCCAAGTGCTAGGATTAAAGGTGTGTTCCACCATCTTCTTGGTGCTCTAAAACAGCAGTTTTCAGATCCAGGTAGCTCATGAGATCCAGGATGCATGGGGGAGTAAGAACACAGAGGGCATGTTGATGATCTTCCTGTTTAGCTCTGGGGTGATCTTTGCCCATAGCTTTAGAAGCATCAGGAACGTGGGAATGATGCTTTGGGTAACCCCATGGTCATTACACCACAGTTTCCTGGGGCTGGGGGGCAACCAAGGACTTCTGGGTTACAGTGGTAGCATGAACTGTGGTCATAAGTCCCTTGCTGATGCTGAACTGTTTGCATGGGTGCCCTTGGCTTGGGACTGGGGGCTGCTGAGCGGTGTGTGGTACAGGAGGCCTTGCTGTCAAGCTTGAGTTGTTGTACCTCTCATGGTTCACACCCATCCCAAACAGGGAGGCATCAACATAAAGAGCAGAGGTGGTAACCACTGTGGCTCCATCCTTCAAGTGGGCCACACTCTTCTTCATCGTAGTGAAGGCTCCATGACATACTTGGCACCAGCATCAACCTATTGGATGTTGGCAGGATCTAACTTCCTGAAGATTAAAGACAAATTTCCCATTCTCATCCTGTACTGTACCACGGGTATACTAGGACATGTAGACCTCATAGTTGAGGTAAATGAAGGGGTCACTGATGTCAACAATATCCCCTCTGCTAGAGCTGAAGGCAGCCTTGTTGACTAAGCACTCAGTACAGTCAAATTCATTCTTTCTAACCTTTGCTATCAAGTCTCAGATATTAGGCTGGCCCTTCAAGGAGATGTGGCTGTTTCTGGAACTCTGTGGAGCAGAAAGTCTATATTATTGTGACAAGAGTGAATATATTTATTCTTTTACTTAAGCTAATTTTAAGTGGATTCTGTCACTTTCCATAAAATTAATCTTGATTTTTTTGACTCTTCAGAGTTTTGTGCTGAAGTGTAGTAGCCCAAGGAGAGCTGGCCTCTAATGGTGGTCTCTAGCTGGTCCCCAGTGCTTCCTATTCAGACTTGAGTTTGCCTTAATTTCAGGTACGTAAACTTCTAGCATCCCACCCCTGTGCCCCGCCCCATAGTCCCTGCATCAAAACCCTGTTTATATTCACCTGCCACCACCAGTTTACTCCTTGGCTGCATTTTAGGCTTCAAGGTGTTCACAGTGGCATTAGTTTGGTTGACTTCCTGAAGGTCATCATCTTGTTCACAATCCCTCCAGGTCCCATGGTCGCTGTCTCAGCAAATGGTACCATCATCTAGCAAGTTGCCCCAGAGAGCTCCAAAATCAGGCTACAGCATTTCCCCCCTAATTTTCCATAGCTAATTAGACACCAGAACCAGGATTGTTCTACCCAGTTCGCTCTTAAATCTGACTTTATCACACTTTAGTGTAGGGTTTACCTTTCACCTGGCTTTATGTGATAGCTTTCCAGGCACTTCCTGGTGCCGTGCTTTTCAACAGCCCGAGTGTCTTTTGTGTGTATAGCTTCACTTTGGAGAGTTAAGAGAAAGAATTGACATCGATGGTGTGGGTGTTGGTTCTGTGCTCTGTGTGCAAGTCTCATTCAGCCCACAATAACTTTGTCTTTGCAGATGTAGACACTGAAGGTTAAGTCAGTTGCTCAAGGTCTCACATCTGGTTGTCGGGAGAGATGGAACTTGGCTCTAGGTCTTTCTGACTCTAATTACCAAGGCTTTTTTCATCAATGCAATCCTATAATATACTATTTCCTCAGTTTATGGTTAGCTATCTCAAAAATCAAATGGTGGGGGGTTGGAGAGATGGCTCAGTGGTTAAGGGCACTCACTGCTCTTCTGAAGGTCCCGAGTTCAATTTCCAGCACCCATGTGGCAGCTTACAGCTGTCTGATGCCTTCTTCTGGTGAGCAGATGTACAAGTAGACAAAGTACCAACACACATAAAATTCATGAATTAAAAAAAAAAAACAAGCCGGGCGGTGGTGGCGCACGCCTTTAATCCCAGCACTCGGGAGGCAGAGGCAGGCGGATCTCTGTGAGTTCGAGACCAGCCTGGTCTACAAGAGCTAGTTCCAGGACAGGCTCCAAAACCACAGAGAAACCCTGTCTCGAAAAACCAAAAAAAAAAAAAAAAAAAAAAAAAAAAACAAATGAGGGAAAAAGAGGACTCCTAAGACTCTTAGACTAGGCATAGGCTTCAAATTCCTAGTCTGGCCCCTGGCTGTCTCTAGTTATCACCCTCACCTCTCTTCTTGCCTGCCCTTTCTCTGCTTTGTAGAGAGACAAATCTAAATAAACCTAGTCTCGATTTTATCTGTCCATTCCCACTGTCCTCTCACAAAAATCACTCGGAGAATGATGATTGAGTGAAGGAATGGATGCTCCCTCATTCTTTGTTGCTTTTTATTTTTGGGACAGTTTTCCACTACATGGCCCTGGTTGGTCTGGGTTTGTTGTGTAGAATAGGTAAGCTTTGCCTCCTGAGTGCTGGGATTAAAAGCATGTAGCATTATGCCTAGCAAGTCCTGCATTTCTTCAATTCTTTCCCACCATTTCCTTACCAGCTTCAGGGAGACAAAACAAAGGCACGCTGGAGGATTTTCCTGCATTACTGTTGCTTGTTTCACTCTTCAGCTGCTCCCCAATCCTGGCCTGCTCCACTTAGACGGCCTTTTGTCCAAACAGCACCACCAGGGGGCAGGGCGTGACTAGCCTTGCCATGTTCTCTCGCTGTGTGTTTTTTTCCTCCTTCTTGGGGACAATATTCTTTTTTTAATTAATTAATTAATTAAAGATTTCTGCCTCCTCCCACCACCGCCTCCCATTTCTCTCCCCCTCCCCCAATCAAGTCCCTCTCCCTCATCAGCCCAAAGAGCAATCAGGGTTCCCTGCCCTGTGGGAAGTCCAAGGACCACCCACCTCCAACCAGGTCTAGTAAGGTGAGCATCCAAACTGCCTAGGTTCCCCCAAAGCCAGTACGTGCAGTAGGATCAAAAACCCATTGCCATTGTTCTTGAGTTCTCAGTAGTCCTCATTGTCTGCTATGTTCAGCGAGTCCGGTTTTATCCCATGCTTTTTCAGACCCGGGCCAGCTGGCCTTGGTGAGTTCCCTATAGAACATCCCCATTGTCTCAGTGTGTGAGTGCACCCTTCACGGTTCTGAGTTCCTTGCTCGTGTTCTCTCTCCATCTGCTCCTGATTTGGACCTTGATATTTCA